ATATATATATATATATATATACACACATATACTTTTTAAAAAGTATTTCAAACTCATTCCAGTGCTTTTAGGAAGTCACCTCTTTTCCCATTAAAGAACTTCAAAATAAAGCTATTTCCTCTGGTGTTTAAATGCCTTTTCTTTTCTTACTGTGTGTTAATGCCTTTCCACTCATCAGTGATTTCAGTTTTTTTAGGATATCACAGGAGAGGGAGAAAATTTATGTTCCATAAATCTTGCTTTGTTGCCAGGGTTACTGCCTTTGTCCATTTCTTCCTCCTGCTTGTAGACCATGAAGTGCAGGGTTTGGGGATCCAGTAGACTTGGATTTGAGTCTTGGCTATACCGAAAGGAGCCTGTGCCTTAGTGTACTGACCTGAGAGGTACAGACAATAGCATTCACTCCGTGGGTCCTTTTCAGGATGCAGGCTCAGCAGCAGGTGTACGGAGAGCTTCTTGGTGCAGTGGAGCCCCAGGAAACACTTGGGAAATGGAGATGGGAGGCTTGTTTGGTGTTGCTGTGTCTTAGGGACTGTCATGGTATGCCCCGTAGCTCTGTTGTTATCCCAGGATAACAAGCTGTCCTAGAAAAACTGAATTCACTCCCCAAGTGATAGGGTTAACTGTCCATGGTTAACTGGTTAATAACTGTCCATGCTGTGGCTCCCTGGAAGTCTTTCTGAAAGGAGAGAGTTTCATTGTCCGGTATCTGGGAGGCGTCCATTCTGTATGGGTTCCTAGGCTGGACTTTCTCAGGGTCATGTCAAGCCCTCCAGGTTCAAAGGTAACCAAAGCCAAGTTCCAAGCTCACACATGACCTCCAGGGCAGCTGGCCAGGGAGACGTGGTCTGAGAAATCCTCACCCCTGGGGCTTGGGAGGTCAGAGAGCAAGCACAGCTTCCCAGAAACTGATGCCAGTGTGGCCATGGAATCCTGGCCAGAGATTGGGGAGTGAAGTTCTCTGGCCCCCACGTCTCCTTGCTGCCCTCTGCTGGGTGGTGTGAGACTCAGGCGGTTCTGCCTTCTCACCACTCTCCCAGCTTCTGCATCTTTCTTCGCTCCAGTTGACTCCACTCAGTGGGCCTCACTCCTCCTTGCCTCAGCATCTCCTGCAGGGTGGGGTACAACACAGATTACTGAGTCCTGCTGCCAGAGCCTGGGAATGACAAGAAAATTCACATTTCTAATGAGTGAGGCTGATGTCCAGGCCTGGCACTGGGGAGCGAGCCCCCGTCTTTGTTTTTTCTTCTTGTTACTGCCCAGTGTTCCTCGCTGAGCTTTTTGTCCCTAGCCCTTATCCATCTCCTGCAGATTTTACACTCGGACCTCAGATCTGAAACAAATAAAGCAAAAGCTTTTCTGGTTCTCCATTGCTCACAGGATGAATGTCAAAAAGTCCTCAAATGCCTGGCAATGCCCCCAATTCCCTCACCTCGCCTCCTGCCTGGCTGATTCCACACCAAACCCCTAGCACACTGCACTCCTGAAGTTTCTTTCTCTTTGCTTGTTTATAGTCTCAGAAAGATTAACTTACTTATTTTGAAAAGCAGAGTTACAGAGAGATCTTCCATGTGTTGGTTCACTCCCCAGATGGACACAGTGTCAGTGCTGGGCCAGGCTGAATCCTAAAGCCAGGAGACTTTTCAAGGTACTCATAGGTAGCAGGGCCCCAAGCACTTGGATCATCATTCACTGCTTTTCCTAGGCCTCTAGCAGGGAACTGGATCAGAAGTGGAGCAGCTGAGACAGGAACCAGCGCCCATATGGGATGCTTGGCATTGCAGGCACCAGCTTTACTCTCTGTGCCACAATGCCAGCTGCTGCAGTTTCTTAATAACCTTGTCACTTTGTGGTTTGTTCTTTGTGTCTACCAGTCGCTCTCTGCAACACCAGTCCCTTTCTTGGGTGGTTAACACCTGGGGACCCTTTGAGAACACTTACAAACGTCACTTTGGGGAAGTATCCCTATCTATGGTTGCCTTCCATTTTCCTCTGTCTCATGGAGTTGTCATGTGATTGTAGTGGCCTCTGAGCTTTCTGAGAACAGGAACCCGATGTGTTCCATCTGTAGCCACAGCCAGGAGCAGTACGTTGCCTGAACCAGGGCTGGAAAGCAGTGGATGCTGAATGAAGGAGGAGATCCAGGAAGGCTACTTGGAAGAGGCTGGCAGCTTTTCCAGATGGAAAGAGACGTTAGGATTTGGACATGCTGAGAAAAGTGGAAGAGCATTCAAAGAAAGGAAGGTTGAGCCTGGACTTGAACTTGTTTTGAGGAAGCTACAAGGAGGGCTGTCATTTCCTGGCCAATCCAATTTGAGAGCCAGCTGAGGGAGTCGCCAACTGAGTGAAGATGGGATTCTGGGAGAACCCCCTGGACCATGCGGGGAGCACCGAGCTGGGTCAAGAGTGAGGACAGTGAGGACTGAGTGTGCCTCTCCCCGTGGCCGATGGGAGGTGCTGTGGGACACTTGGCCTTGTCTCCTTCTTGTGTCTCTCACCCACCTTGTTTGTGTGTTTGCTCCCTTGCTTCATCAATGATTGACACCTAGATCCATGCAGCAGCATCAGGATAAAGGCCGGGAGTGTCCTGTGGGTGCCAGGGAATGCAGAACTGGGCTCAGCGGGTGCTATTGCTGCTTTGTAGCTACCCATGGAAATAGGAGAGAGGGAGGGCCAATGGCAGCTGCAGGGGACAGTCAGATGGCATCCAAGCTCAATAGTAATTCAGGAGGAAAGTTTTAGTGTTTGTGAAAATTGACCAGCACCTTGAACACGGTGCCTTAACCCTGGGCTTGTAGGATGTGCCATGTGTGCAATGACAGAACCGCGTAAGAACGGAAGCATACTCTTTGTTTGCCATACTAATACAATAAGCATGAACATTAGCACTTCTTTGTCTAAAGATACATCTAGAATGAATTATGTGCACTGTCACCATCATTCCGTCTCTCCGAGACAAAGACAGCTTTATGATTCTTATGACATTGTTCTCAACATCTAACCATTACTGTTCTTCCATTAAATTTAACACATTGTAACTGGCGAATGTCGTGTAATCTTGAATATGTGGCGGGGGAGCATTGGTTCCCTCTGATGTGTTCTTCCAGCTTTCTTGGACAGTTTTAGGGGGCTTCCTTGTTGGACTCATGTGTGCAGAGAAACATCTGCATGGAAAATAATTTTATAGTAAACATGGACCTAGTCAAGAGTCGTTTTTCTAACCATTTGTTCTCAGAGATCTAATGTCTGGTTATACTTCCACATCAGTAATTCTGTTGGTACATCCAGCAAAAATCACCAGTACAACCAGGCGGAAAGGGTTACTGCGCCCAAACCAGCACATGCAAGGGGGCGGAGTACATAAAACATAAGCAGGGAAATCACAGGATCCAATTTCCTTTTATGCTCAGGCGTGGAGACAGCCACACCATCACTCACCCGTGCCTGCCACTGGCCACCAGAAACACCTGGTTTATGAGCCGCAAGTCATCCACATTGAAAATTCATTTTCATTTCTTCCAACAACAATTGTGAGCGCACATACCTAATTAAAAGGCTTAGGTGCCAAGCTCCTGGAGTATAAATCTATATAAAGTGTGTATTAGTTGCAGCTAATTCATTGAACAAATATGGATTAGGCCTCTTTAGCTCCCATGTAGGACATCTGGCTACAGGGCAGACCCAGGTGCCTGGCATATCTGCTCAAACCTGGGGATCCAGGTGTCTGTTTATTGGAGTTGGTGCCATTGTGGGTCACGTGTGAGCAGCTGGCTTTGTTTCCGGTTTTCAACTTGAGCTGTTTCCTGAACTACAAAATGCCACACTTCTGACGCGCTTCAGAAAAGCTCATCTTTACTGTGCTTTTTGTTTGAAAGACTCTGCAGCGTGTTCCTATTGATGGGCCGATTAGAAAACCTGGGGGAAGTGAAATTCGAGAGGTGAGGGAGGCCTAAGTATACCTGGAATTTCTAATGGATTTTACTAACGGTTTTCCCTATTATGCCATGCTCCAGAAGACATACCAACAAGTTTGTACGAATATAAAGAGCTTTTTGTCTTACTAATAGCCACAAATAAATATTTCAGATGATCACCCACAAAAACATCAAGAAGTTTCGGGTTCTGAGTGTGGGAGATCATCGCCGGGTCTCTTCCTGCTACCTGGTGGGTGTGGCTCACAGATTACCTGCTCGTGATCTAAGGCACAGCCTCCAGACCTGTATGCAGAATGCGACCTCTGACATGACTTGAGGGTCTGGGGGAATAGACGTGCCTTCTAGCCAGTTAGAGTGTCGCTGGGACAAGGGGACTATCAGGAGATGCCCTCCGTCCCTCCCCTTCCAGGTATAAGCTTGTCATTTGTGTTTAATCAATGGAGATGTCCCCACCACATCGTCTCTGGTGGTTCTTGTAGATCGAACTTGGCAGCTGAAGAATACCACTGCCTCACCCCCTGTGCCCTGAGGACCTGCTGGCAGGAATAAACCTCAAGATCTGAGTCCTGCTCATGAAGTAGTGTCCTGACAATTTTTTTTTTTTTCTAATCAGAAGAGAAAAATGAGGAGCGGCTGCCTGTGTTATCCGCACGTTTCAGACCTGCCACACTGGTTCCAAGGATTTCTGAGTATCCCATTCCTATCTTTGTGGGGCTATAAGACGAAGACGTCTTTGTGTCCTTTCTTACTGTGAGAAGAGATCTTGCTTGTACATCGGTATGGCCGACCCCTGGTTTCTCCTGTAGAAAAAACTTAGTTGGTTACACTGTTTTCATGGTTGCAATCAACTGAATTAGATACAGTGCCCGGAGTGTGGGTAGTGCTATTTTATCCAGGAAGGAACCCCATGTGGCCATGGATGTTACACAGAGCACAGCTGTTTGGTCCTGTTCCAGTGGTAATGAGTAGGGCAAAGGGAAAGGAGTTGAATGCATAACCTTAAGTTGAACATTGTTTGGGAAATTAGCTCTTATATATGCTAATTGTGTACTTTTTTTTTAATAGATGGAACTGATTAAAAATATCAGTACGGCCGAACAGCCCTATTTATTCACTCGACATGTTCATTTCCTCAACTTCTCAAGGTAAGACCTTTTTTGAGTTTCATGGTTCTTTTGTTCTGACATCTCCCTTCAATGAACAGTGTACTTTTGTCATCCACCTTTATTTGCCAGGTAGTACACTGCCCTTTCCCTTAAAAGGACACTTTTAACCCATTCTTTTTTGCTGCAGAGGGATCAACATTTGAAACATGGGTTGAGAAAATCTCCTCTATTCTATTACCTTAGCAAGACTTGGAATTATTTTTATTTGGAAGCCATTGAATTTAACAATCTTTTTTTTTTATTTTAAGAAAATCGGGCTTTAAATGGAAATGGGTCAGTTGAGAGAGGGTGTTTTCATATAAGTAGTGCACATTTTTGTACAGATGGAAGTTGCACAGAAGTCTGGGACTGACTTGACCTGTTTTGTAGGCTCTTAAGAGCCTGTGCGAGCCGTTCTGTCTGCCTTTGTAATACTCCCCTAGTTTCACATGTGTGAGCTTTTCTAGAATTCTGTTTTTATCATCAGTGGCTGTGGCCTTCTAGCAAGGATGCAAACCTTCAAATGTGAGGTTTTCGGGGGTTCAATTTCCTAAAATTTCCAGCTTCAAGTTGGCATTCTCTTGCCCAGCGATGCGTTAAGCGTAGATTTTCTGCCACTATGCCTCACTCCTAAACGGATACTGTTTTGATTCCCGAGCTCCCATCTGGCCCTGACTGCTTGTAGTTGGTGTCCGTTGGCTGACAGATCACAGGTTCCAGGAGCAGATCTGCTGACCTGCTGGGGAAGCCCTGACCTCCCTCTCCAGCCAGTGCTATGTGTTCAGTGCTTTGTAGGTGCACGTGGGAGCCCCAGGACACCTGGCCCCAGCCAGCAGGCACCTGCTGGTTAGTGCTCACCTGATAGCGCCTGAGGACCAGGCACCAGGGAATCTGGCTCTGGCAGAAAGCTAGAGCTGCACCCTGGGCATTCACTTTGGGCCACCTGACCGCCCAGCTGGCTGAATATCGCTGTGAGCCAGGACTTCACCCTTGTGGAGCAGGTCCTGTCCAAACCAAGAGCAGTGAGCCTCAGCTGGCAGGTGGGTGAACAAAGAGGAGCTGCTGACTCATCTGTAACAGCGGGCCTCCCCCCAGTGCCCTCTACATGCCAGATAGCCAGAGGGCCTGGCAGCTGCAGAGGGCACCTGTGTGTTATCCACAGTCGTGGGGCCAGGGCTGCGTCCAGCCAGGTTTATCATATGGCTGCTTCCTGGAGGGCCAGGGTGTATCACGTGCCTTGCCAGAAGGCCAGGAATGAAGGTGTCTCATGGCGTCCTCAGATAAGGTGGACTCTGCTATCTTGGGTTTGTGTTTTAAGACTGAGTTCCAGTGAGCTTCCTGCTGTGTCACCTCTGACATCCTTAGACTTCCCTCTTAACACTTCCTGCTTCAAAAGGTCAACCGCTTAGAACCAAATAAGCTGCAAAGCAGCAAACTGTTACAATTATCTCAGGACATTGCCAACTCTAATGAGGAGCCAGAACCGATGTATCTGAATGGGATCAATAGGACAGAGTGAAGTGGCTGTATTTTATCATGGTCTCTACCATCACGTTCAAAAATTTCATCTTGATAGCCTTCATTTTCAAAGGCATTGATCAGCGCCTTCTAGAAGATACCACATCTGCCGACCACAAGGCTGGCTGGCCTGGCTGGCAGGACTGTGATGCCGAACAGGTCACTCTGCTTCCTTATGCTGACGCTTTGCTGGGTTCCCATCTGTAAAGCAAGGGACAGATCCTGCCCATCCCTGCATCATTAGGGGCAAATACATGGAGGAAAGGCCTCAGGGAGAAGGAGGAGGTGCAGACTCAGAGGTCCACAGCTGGACTCCAGGCTCTGTTAGCCCTGTGTGTTTTCTAAGTCAGGAACAGCACCGCAGCAGGGCAGGTTCTGTTTCTCCCTGCTCTCCTCCACTCAGCGCTTGTTTACAGAGTACCCTCTGTCTTCTCTATGCGACAGGAGAGCTAGGACTCCCGCTGTGGACACAGAACCTGGCCCCATGCCTCTGGGAATCTTAAATTCACCTTCAGAGGAGATCATAAAGGAGTCTCAGGGCTCCCCCTAGAGGTAGTGGCGGGAACCTCCACAGTGCAGAGAACCAAGTCCAGATAGGACTGGAGAATGGGTCAGCTTTAGTCTCATGAACAGGCAGCCAGGGCAGAAACCAGCTCGTACTGCTGGGGGACCTGGAGGGGAGCTGAAGGCAGTGCGGAGTTGCAGCCTAGAGGGTGCTTGTGGTCCCAGTGGAGAGTGCAGAGGGTTTGCAGCTGGAGTGCGTAGGGACTGGCCTGGCCAGCTTTGTTCCTAAAACAGGGCAGAGTTAGCGCCTTCTCCTGCCCCCTGGCCACCCCACATTCCAGGGCCGCGGTCGGGGTTGGTCCTGCTCTGAAGCTGCGTGCATGAAGTGGTAAGATGACCAACAAGGCTATGATACTCACATGATGTGGAAAGCTTTACCTTTCCTCAGGAAATGGCCCTGCGGGAGGAACATGTAACAGGCAGCCAGCTGTGGCCCCACAGAGCCCCCATCTCTGAGATGGCTGAAGGATGCTACACGGGGCTCAGGGGGCTCTCACATGCTTTACAAGGTGGTTTCTGTACTTGGCATTGGGAGACTGTTAAGCTTCTCATCAGGAGTCTACGCCGTAACTACTGACAGAAGTCTGGACAGGGAGGTGATTAGCTGTGCAAAGCGGTGTCTGAGGCTCTTGCCTTCTTTACGGAGCTTTCCTTTGCATAAAATACATACATAGATATAAATTTTTATTTATATTTGAAAGGCATCATTAAAGAGAGTAGGGGAGACAGAGGTCTTCCAACTGCTACTTCACTCCTCAAATTGCCACAATAGCCAGAGCTGAGCCAATGTCAAGTCAGGAGTTCCCTCTGAGTCTTTCATGTGGGTGTTGATACCCAAACACTTGGGCCATCCTCTGCTGCCTTCCCAGTCCATAAACAGAGAGCTGGATTGGAAGTGGAGCTGCCAGGATATGAACCAGCACACATATGGGGTGTCAGCACCTCGTGTAGAGGCTTAGCCTACTGTGCCGCAATGTTGGCTTCTTTTTTGAACCTTCTGATCTTCCAGGAGTGGTTAATGAGCAGCAAGACACCTGCTACTGAGCAGACCATAAAATAAGACCAGTTTTGCTGTTGCAAACCCGGGAAGCAGTAGGGTCAGCCCAGGCAGGTGCTGTGGTTGCCTGAGGACATCTCCCATTGGAGGAGCAGGCCTCAGTAGCTCAGCAGAGTTCTGCCTTCTGTCTTCAGTTTGCGTTTGTGACGTCTGAGTCTGAATTACCAGGGCCTTGCAGATGCTACTCTGGGTTCTGATATTTCATCAGGATTTTCAGTATTTCTGTATTGTGCTTTCATGTCTTTTCACATTTGTTAGAAGAACTTTGAGTTACACTCTTCTTTTAAAAAAATATATACTTTTGGGCCCTGCACGGTAGCCAGGTGGCCAAAGGCCTTGCCTTACACACATCGGGATCCCGTATGGGCATCGATTCTAATCCCTGAAGCCCCGCTCCCCTGGGACAGCAGTTGAGGACGGCCCAAAGCCTTGGCACCCTACACCTGCGTGGGAGACCCCAAAGAGGCTGCGGGCTCCTGGCTTCAGATTGGCACATCTCCAGCTGTTGCAACTACTTGGGGAGTGAATCAATGGGCGGAAGATCTTCCTCTCTGTCTCTCCTCCTCTTAGCATATCTGACTTTCCAATAATATATATATTTTTTATATATATATAATAAAATATTTTATATATATATATATTTACTTTTAAAGTATATGTGTATTTTTACTGGAAAGGCAGATTGTCAAAGACAAAGATCTTCCATCTGCTGATTTGCTCTGAAAGCAGCCACAATGGTCATAGCTGAATCTATCCGAAGCCAGGAGCCAGGAGCTTCTTCTGGGTCTTCCACGCGGGTACAGGGTCCCAATGCTTTGGACCAGTCTCCAATGGTTTCCCAGGCCCATTTATCTTACACTGATAAAATATCCAAGTGCATCTTACATCCACACACTGTGAAAGATATAATTGAATTTGTCTTTCCCTGGTCCCCATGTACTGCTTTCTCAGCTCTGGGCAGGAGGATGCTTTTGATCACTCTGCAGTCTCTTGCCCCAACCAGGGCCTGGCCAGGTAAACCTTAGCAAGTTTTGCATCAAAGCCAAATACTATCAGAACAGTCCAGGAGAATTGCAAGCGCTGTGAATGTGCTGTATAATTTCAGATGAACTCTTCTCTGAACCTTTTCATGTCACGCTTCCTTTCTCACCCTCAGCTTCCTTTGCTTTCATCTGTATTTCCTCCTCTCAGATAGTGGCTCCAGGACCAACACTTACTGGCATAACCCCGCCACCCTCCCCCATTAAAAGTCAAACAGTCCCCAGAGTAGCAAGTGGGGTGTGATGTATGTGGGAGGGGTGGGGGTGACTTTTGGATACCTCCCCGTCTTGCCTTCAACTGGCGTGAACTGTGTTTTCCACATCAGATTTCACAAACAAAGCCTGCCCACTGACAGTGCTAACAAAGCCAACCGGATGCCCACTGGCACCATGATTCAGTGTTGTTTCACGTCTTCTTTCTGAATGTTGACTTTGCTTTTTTTTATACCCATTAGTGGTGTGCTCCAGTTTCGTTATCTGCCCTTCAGATCTTTCAAGTCTCAAAGTGGGAAGAAAACACCAACACAAAAGTTGATATGAGCCGCTAGCTGTGCCTCCACCTGCTGAGACATTCCAGGAGTTCAGTCTTAACCCGAGTCTGTACTACTTCCCTTCTTCTATCTCGGGGTAGAACTACGGAAGGAGGAGAGGGATTCTTTGTTTAAGCGAACGTAGTTACAACTTGGAATGATTTTTTTTAAAATGTTCTGTACATAGATGGTGATATCAGTTGCAGCACGGTGTGTATAAACTTAGCATCACTGACGCCCACTGAAAAATGGTGAAAGGGGTGAATTTTGAATTTTTTGTTATGCATATTTTACCTCAGTTTTTTTTAAAAGAAGACAAGGCTTTCCAAAAGTGTTTCTAGTCATGGAGATTTTGCTGTCATAAGGGGCCTAAGCATTCTTAATTCTCCCCAGTAGTTTTGATCTTAAATCTTGAATTAATATATGCAGTTTTTATTACAGGAATAACATCCTTCAGCATTTTGATGAAAGTATCCCCAAGTTTCTCCCTTAGTGCTCTGTGTTGCTGATGGAGGGGTGACTAGGGCTGTCGATCGTTTGATTCATTGATTCCGATAGTGGTGTGGGGTAGAGACTGAAGAACATATTGAGAATGGATGTTTAGAAATCCCTCCCCACAACAAGAGCCTGCAGTGCATATTCCTAAGAAGTACATCCTGCTTTGCATCACCACTTTCTCAAAGCAGTCAGTAAAAAATTAAAAGCAAGTAAAAGAATCTGATACAAAGGCAGAGTCAGAAGGAGTCACAGAGAGGATAACATAACCTATGAACATGTGTCAAAGAAATTGGCATCGCCTGCTGTTCTGGGATGGCTTGAGAAGAACCTCAGATATGCAGTAGTAATTGTGATGTCCAAGCCACAAGAGAGCATGCTGTTGCACAAGAATCAAAATGTGGCCTGTCTGCCCCTTGCTTGGGAACACACATCATGGGATTGAGGGTCACTGGTACTCATTCATAGTTTTTTTTAATAAAGTTCAGTAAGAATAAAATGGGAACTGTAAATTATGACAAAAGCCAAAGGAATCTTTTAAAGAACACACACACACACACAAAAAAATGTTTAAAGTGAATCTGAAAAGGTTAGCATTTGCCAAGCCTGTGTCTAAAGGCCACCTCAATGGTTGGGTTGACCAGTAGGACAGGTCGATAGACAAATTGCAGAGTTTCAATAATAAGGCAGTGTTTTATGCTGCATGGAATGGTAGGATGCAAGCCATGGTCATTCCTGGAGTGGAGTCAAGTGTAGGTGATGGGTTTCCAGTGACCCAGAAGCCTTGTAAATAGAACCTGAGATTAAAATACTGAGAGCCAGAAATACTGCTGGCTTCTGGTACAATGGACAGTGCTGCCCTAGCATGTTGGCAGGAATCTGGCATGGCAACCTGGAACCATTATTTCTCTTGGCTTTTGGAAAGAGGGAGTTAGAAGCCAGAAACCTCTTCTAGCTAGAGAGGATGTTGTATTGTCTGATACTTGACAGTGAATTTTATTGCCATCTAAAACATCTGTTTAGTGGAATCATTCTGGTACCGTTAGGGGCAGGACATCCATGCTCAACAGCCTTGCCAGTCTTTCCATCTGCAGCCACTGATGGAGGATTGCAATGGTTGGGCTAAGAACTGTACCCCAGTGAGTGGGCAGCCCACTCATTAACATTAGCAGTTGGTCGTCACAGGAAGATGAAAATACACTTGAGGCTTATAAAAGCACAGTGCGACTTTGGAGGGTCAGATTAGATTCATCTGTGGTAGCCACGCTTTGTTTTCCTAGTCCCTAGCATGACTGCTTTCGTTGTAACAATGTCAGACATTCCTCAAAAATATGAAACCCAGCTTAATTAAAAGAGGATGATAAATCCAGGATGTGTGTGTGTATTAGTTGGTGGCTGGCACAGCTAGCTCTTGGGAACTACAGTTAGTGGTACATTCAGTTGTGTGAAGGCCCCTTGTGTTCATCTAGGAGCCCACCAGCTTTGTGTAGGGTTAATCTTTTCCATGAACCACCACATGTTTCCCAAGGTGGCCCTAGCCAGGGAATCTAGAACATCACTCAAGCCTGAAATCCCGTGATTTGGGTCAGTCCTTTTGGTTCCTGTGGATTCTTCTCTCTAATGATCTTTCTGAAAAAAATTGGATGAGCTGGGCACACTATGACGTTCATCCATGATAAAGGACTGGGAACTTGTTATATGTTCTTTTTGTTACAGAGCCCAGTGGTACTGGATGTAATGTAGCAACTTGGAACGTACACCCAGATCACCATTTCTTCATTCTGTCATCATTTGTTGAGCACTTAACCATGTGCGTGCACTGTGCTAGCTGCAGGAGGCTCAGGTGTGATGAAGAGACAGCCAGGGCTAAGCCATAGGAAGGGAAGAGTCAGGCACAAAGGGAGGGACAGACAGATGCTGGACTTGGGGCGTCTGTTGCTAAAGGGTTTGACCATGATTCTGGGCTGGGTTGTGTAAGGTGAGCAGTTTTTTAGCTGGGCAGACACAGGCAGAATCCTGCCCAGCTGTTTCCTGTGACCTCTTTCTGACCCTCGATGGAACCTCTAGGGAGCCTCATCAGAGGGTCACAGGGCGCCCCAGGAGATCACCAAAGGAGGTCACCAAGCATGTTTGCTGCTGAGAGTCTGGGTTGCCGGCCCCAAACTCTTTCAGGTTTCTGCTTTCAAAGACTTCAAAGAGGAAGGGGATAAAAAACTCAGCTAACCCCTTCATTTTGTCTTGGGGAGGCCTTGCTCTTAGGCCAGCATTTAATGTAGTTGTCCAATCCCTTTGTAGAAGGAAGGCAAATGGAACACAGAGGCATTTGTTTTACTTTGAGATGAGCCACTTGCGTGACTTGTGGATAATTATATCGATTTTTGTTTTACTCTTGAGATCCCTCACATTATTACTTCTGTCTGGGGCTTTCTTTATGTGGTTAAAAATACAGATTCTGGAGCCAGATCCCGTGGGCTCATGTCTTGGGACAGGCACAAAATTATCCTCTCCCCAACCCCTGCCTCAGTTTCTTTAAGCATGGATGGTGGTGGAGCTGGTTTCTGTCCCACTCAGGTGGCAAGGGGCCTCGGTGCAATGGCCACAAAGACATGTTTAGAACAACATGACTAGCAAGTGCTCTGGTTAACCCACGTACTGAGAAGCATTTTACTGAGACTATTTGAATTATTAGGCAGTAAGTACCAGCTCACCCAAAACTGGCTGCCCAGTGGAAACCCTCACTGATGGCCAACTCTGTATCGGTAGGTTCTGTGCCTGCCCCTAGGGGAGACCAAGTCCAGTAGTCAGTGGTCTCCATCTTTACAGGATCCTCAGCTCTGCAAGACAGCCAGAAACATCTGTCTTTGAGCACTGACCAACATGTTTGCAGAATGCTGTTCTGTAGAATGATCCTCGCAGTCCCTCAGCAGGTGCGTGGAGCAGGTGTCTTCGTGTCCACCTGCTGCAGAATAATGCAGTGCCGCTCAGCAAGCCTGCCATGTAACGAGCGTCCTGCCTCTGTGTGTGTTGTTAGGTTCGGAGGAGACCAGCCTGTCTACATCAACATCATCCGGGACCCTGTGAGCCGATTTTTATCCAATTATTTTTTCCGTCGCTTTGGAGACTGGAGAGGAGAGCAGAATCACATGATCCGCACCCCCAGCATGAGGCAGGAGGAGCGCTACCTGGTGAGTTGTGAGGCCGTGCAGCCGTGGATCTCAGCTTTCTCCCATGGCCTTTTCATTTTTCATGCAACAGTTCTGTAGGCTCACCTTCTCCATTTATCCTAATCCCCCCCACACTGCTTCCCCCACATTATTACAAGCCATCATTCTGCTATTGCAGTGTATCATCCCATTGTAATTGTAGACAATTATCCATGCCACTTTCACAGAAGCTTGTTCTGAATGAATGACCCTGTGTGCCTGAGCAGATGTTGTTCAACATCTTCAGTGTCAGGGTTAAGTCCAAAACAAGGAGCAGTCTTTTGGGAGCTCCCGGCAAGCTCTGTGATGGTGAGAACAGGGGCTTGGCAACATCTCTGGAAACGTGGTGGAAGGCTCTCTGCCCCATCCTGCATCCCCCTCAGTTCCCATGGCAACACATGGAGGAGAGACATTTCAGTTAACGATCTTGAGATGCCATGGGACTGAGGGACTTGTAAGAGTCACACCTCGAGCTGACCCAGGGGTCTCGCCACCACAGTTCATCAGAGCCATGCCACATGGCAATAACCACTCACTCTTTCTAGACTTTGCTGTGCGGCCCTCAGCTCCACAGGGCTCCATAAGACCCCTCCAAGATTAGTAACAGAAGTACAGAAGTTGTCAGCAGAAATGGAGGGCAGAGCCATACGTCTTTAACTCCAGAATAAAAGGTTCATTTTCCACCCCTTTGTGATTTCCAGTAACAAAAGCTGAGAGCTTCATGTTCAGAAGGAAATCATCATCTCTCTGTGTGTGCCCGTGCCTGCTGGGTCCCCACAGATCCATCATCAGGCATGGACAAGACAAGAGCCACGTTTTGAGGGACCTCCTCCCTTCCCCACCATGGATTCCCATGGCTGGAATAGCACAACCCAATGCCCATGGCTGCTGGGTCCCCAGCCCTAGCCCCAGCATAGCAGCTGGTGGCTTCTAAACATGTTGTGGAAGCGTGTGGGGGCATTTTTGGATAATGTCACCCATGTCATGCTTTGTGTCTTCAAATCCGTGATTCTTGGAACTGAGAAGTGTCTCATTGAGGGTGCACAGCTAGTTAGTAGGTACACGCCTGGTTTGTAGGTACAGATACTAGGTAGTGGATGAGCTCAGAACAGACCCAAGGCTTTCTACTCACCGTTCATCACCTGTGCGGTTGCCTAAGACTTCAGTGAAATACTTCAGTGATGCATTCTACAAGTGATTTTTACCTTTATTTTTAAGTGTTAGCGTTGAAAACTCTGATCTTTGTCTTTAAATGATCCGAATATAGCTTTTTGTTAGTTATTCAATGGCAAGTCTATACTGAGGACAGAACCATTTACAAGAAGCATAATACCTTCTCAAATTATCTTCATGATTTGGTTTCGATCCTGATTTTAAAAATGAATTTTCTTTTAGAGTACAGGCCATTTCATCTGAATAACTTTTTGAAACTCTGACTCTATCTTGATACTAAGCAGATTGGAACTAAGTAGTGGCAGGAAAGGCTGAAGGGCTAAAGATACAGAAGCCTGTTCTATATAAATGGCTATAAATGGCTCTTCCTAGGGAAAACAAGAGCCTTGGTGGATACTTCTGGATTTTTCTACTTGCCAGCATTTTGCATTCTGGATCATTCTGTAATTCATTCCCTGCCACATCACCTTCACACATTTCCACAAAGTAAGCTGTGATCATTAGAGGAATTGTCAAAAGGAGGCACAATTATGATGTGGATTTTGTATTTGAAAGATTTATTTATTTATTATGGAAATGCAGATTTACAGAGAGAAGGAAACCGACTTTCCATCCACTGGTTCGCTCCCCATGTTGCTGCAATGGCCAGAGCTGAGCCAATAGGAAGCCAGGACTCAGGTCTCCAACCTGGGTACAGGGTCCCAAGGCCTTGGGCCATCTTCTGCTGCTTTCCCAGGCCATAGCAGGGAGCTGACTGGGAAGTGGAGCAGCCGGAACAACAACTGGTGCCCATATGAAATGTTGGCACTTGCAGGAGGAGGATTAGCCAATTGGGCCATTGTGCTGGCCCCTAGATTTTTTTTTTTTAAAAGATGTTTGTCCAGTGCTCAAAGCTGGTAATGGAATCAAGTCACACATCTTCTACCCTTTCCAAATGAGCGTGCATCCCAACAGTTGATGTATCATTGCGGGGTGAGACCCAGTGGGGAGTCTCTGGAAAAGCCGGGTGGGGTTGTTAGGATTGAGGGGAGAAGGAGTTGCATGGGGACATGACTCCCGCAGGGCCTGCCCCAGCCTCTCGTAGTTAACAGGCAGTTTTCTTGTTCAAAGGGTAGTTTGTTTATCTGGAAGAAGATGTTCTATTGCTTTTTTTTTTTCCCCTCATAGCTGAAACTTCTCATTCTATTTCCTTGCTCCCATTAGACTTTTGAAATAAAATTGTCCCCTGTCAGAGCCTGTCCCCATTTTGGCAAGCACTGATGGCCGGTTTTGTGGCTCCAAAGAGGCTGTTGTTTGTGTCTCCGTGGGGTCCGGGGCAGCTGTGAGGAAACACTGGCCTCCCAGCAAAGGGGTGCCGAGCAGGCTGCACAGGCGCTCGCTCGGGAAACGGCCAGTGGGCCCCGCACCCCTGCACCCCCCAGGCTTCCGAGGGCATGGCTGCTGGCCTGATTGCAGTGCTCCGAAGCCCCTGCTTTATCTCCATGCCAGGCATCAGGCAGCTCTGCGCTTGGCCCTGTGCCTGGCAGAGCTGCTTAGCATACAGCTGAGCAGGGCCCAGGCCAGCCTTGCAGCTCACTCTGGGTGCGATCCTACAGTGCTGTGATGTCGGTGCGTGGGAGGTTTGCAGAAGACAAGGGTGTGTGGGGCCCTGTGGGGGATGAGGCAGCAACAGGATCTTATGACTGCGCCACAGGGCTTGGGTTCGGGGTGTGTTGTGGGCCTACCAACAGAAGATGCCAGGCTTCCTGACTCCCTTGGGTGCTTCTGCCCCAGGCAGATCTGATTTATGTGCTGCAGGGCAAAAGGAAAAGAGCACTGACCCAAGTTCCATGTTTTGTTTTTTAATAAAGCAGATCATCAGAGAGGATGAGAGAGAGAGCGAGAGCTCACTCTTCTGTTCGCTGGTTCACTCCCCAAATGGCCATAACAGCCAGGGCTTCACCAGTTTGAAGCCAGGAGCCTGTAACCACATCTCCATCTCCCACATGGGTGTTGAGGGCCCAAGCACTGGGCCATCTGCCATTGCTTTCCTAGTAGCACTGGCAGGGAGCTGGATCAGAAGTGGAGCAGCCAGGACTCGAACTGGCACTCCTATGAAATGCTAGCATCAAAGGTAAATCAGCTTCAACAACTGCACACAGCACTGACCTAAGTTCCATTCTTTTTGAGCAGAATCATTTTATGTAACATCATCTGAATCTCTTTATGAATATCACATCGTACTGCTTAATATTCAAGCATGTTACAGCAAGTCCCTGTATTTTCTGGGAACAATTATGTCTTCTCAACCTCTCTATTTCTTTCCTATCCATTCTAACTGCATTTCCCAGAAGATGATTTTGAACTAAATTATTTCTGGTATCGACAGGCATTCCACAGTCAGTAGCCACCCTGGTGCAGAGCCAGGAACCAGCCCCACGGGGCAGGGGCGGCCACTGCTTCCTTTTTTGGTCGGGCACGCTTGGCCCGATCCTTGTGCAGGAGGCTGTCTTCCTGCTTGAGTGCAGGCTCCCCAGTTATTTCCAGGGCAGGGAAGTACCTGGCACACAGACACAGTGAGTGAAAGAATGAATGACTTCTGATGAAAAGCAATGGCTGGGCTTCCAAGCGAGCAGGAGCACCCTCGTCCCGCAGAAACCAGGCCTCACGGACTGTATGTGCTTTTTGCTTGTCTATACCTCACCTTTGGGACGTTCGTATAGCTGTTCTTCTTTGCACATCCAAACTCCAGAAAAACGTGCAAATGGGCTCCTTGCCCAGGCTTGCGGCCATCTCAGCAGGATAGCCTCCCTGGGAGGAGCAGGAAGAAAGGAAAGAACATTCTCCCAAAGAAAAAGCTGCCCCTGCAATCCCTGTTGATTCGCCTTGGCTGTGGACTGTGGAAAGTAAAGCATGTTTAAGAGAAAAGATGTGTAATTTACAGCTTCTTAATTCATAAAGAATTCAGTGAATCATCTGACCCAGTTGAATTCTGGAGGAGGCTGGAAATTGGCCACTGTGAGCAAGTAGTTGCAGAGAGCTGTGCATTTTCATCGGCTTGAGGGTTTGGGATGCTGAGGCCCTTGCACTCTGCAAGTATATGTGTAAAATCCTGGCGTGTGGAAATTTCCACTCTGTACTGACCGGTTGACCATGTTCTGTAAGTGAAACCTCAGACTCGGCCCATCCCTCATGCATCATTTGTCTTAAGGGAATAGACAGGTTGTTAACAAATATGTGTATTTTCCAACTCTTGGAAGGTAAGAAAGTGATGCTCTTTTGCTCCTTTGAGCTGCATGGCCAAGTGCATGACAAGGTGGGGACTTTGGACATAGTATACTCATGCTCCCTTCTCAGTGTCCCTGACTGGAACCTCAGTTGGGCATTTAGCACCAGCAAACTTTCTTTGTCTCATCCATACAATGGGACCATGTTGCTGTCCTTGCCTGCTTGGTACCACTGTTGAGAGAATCAACTTCCATTATGGTTTGGTGGTGGCTTGAGTGTGTCCCCAAGGCTCAGGGGAACCTGGTGGGAAGTGGTTAGATCCTGGGATGCTGCCCTGGGAAGGAAATAATGGAATTCCCATGGAAATCTGGTTAGTTCCATTGAAAGCTGGTGAAAGAACAAGGCTGGCTCTCTAATATGTCTGGCTTCCTGCCGTCCTGTGAGCTCTCTCCCTCATGTACCCACGCCATGGCTGAGTCATCAGGTAGCCAGACACCCCCGGCAAAGCCACGCAGACCCTGCCACCATGCCCTTGAACTGTGAGCTCAGCAAACCTTGTTTCCTCATGAAGTTTGCAACCTCACATCTTTAGTTGCAACCAT